TTTAATAGTATTTGCTGACTTAAAAGGGGGGGTTGAAACAAATAATTAAGGTATGTCTAAAAGGTCACAAGGAGGGGTGGTCAAAAAACTTTTTTTAAATAGAATTGGTGGGGGGGGGGGGGGTTGTGAATTTTTCAAAGGTTTTTTCGACTTTTCCGTCCAGCCCACCCTGAGGCATAATTATTGAACAGTCCCTTAACGTTCATGGAGTATCTATAGTTTTTGGCAGGCTTTAAAGGGGTTGAACTAACCAGACAGAATAATGATTTTTTTCGATACGCTTGCAAGGATTTCATTATTAAAAACATTTTAAATTTATTTGCGTTGTGGTGGCATCCCCACCACGACGCGCGAGAGTAAGACATAATTTTTTTACTTGAAATGTAAACAAAATGTCGTCTTTTAAATTTGATTAATATCGAAAGAAATGAGAAGAAGCACGTTTTTGTCTTGAAGCGTAAATATTTGCTTTTGTACGATAATTCGATTGGAAGTGACACTCGGTTGACCAGGCTGCGAGGGTCTAGGCACGAAAATTTCGAATCATTTCCCTGGTAGTTGGAATGTTACAGCATTGATTGATTCAACGTTGCAATAAGGTAAAATCGGTGCAAAGAATCTAAAGAGGACGAATTTCATTTTTATGTTGGAGGGAATCTCCTCTTTTGACTACTGGAAATCTCTAGAGACTTTTTGCACAGTTCGACAGGTTATTCTCAAACTTCAAGCAAGGGACTAACATTAGCAGGAAGGAAGCTGTGGTTGGCGTTGTTCTTCTGATGGAGTATGCACAGATTAGGTACTTATTGATTTTTTCATTCGCTTTGTACTTAGATAAGCATATTACAGCTTACTACTTCCTGTCTCTTTAGGATATGTTCCTTTTTGTGCATAACAACCAAAATGTTGTTCATCCAAATTTGCAGTAAATGAATTCCAAAGAACTTCGAGAAAACTAGACTTACCAATAAATTCATTTTCTTTTCCTAGTGTCCTGGAACTGGTATTTTTAGTATTCCACGTGGCGAACTGCACGGTAAAGATTTACGCTAAAAAAACTGTAAGTTTTCAGCCTTTATCAAGACCTTGGGCCTTGGGTATTTGGACAGAAAGTCGTATAAACGAGTAATAATACGTTTATCATTTGTCATTTGCCAACTTGTCAGCTCACGTCTACCTCCTCCAAAACTACCAATAATACAACTGCTGTCTTCAGAATCGAAATAGTAATAATTAGCTATAGATTAAAGCATCCTGTCATGCAAAAATCTAGTTTCGAGTCTCATTGTTTTATTGTGTGTGGTGGGGTTTTCCGCATCAGCAGAAGGGCCGGGGAGATATCGTGACTTTCTTCACTTCTAAATAATGGGGTCGAATGTACTTTCCACTCATAGACTATCACATAATCCACAGTTTATTTTCATATGTGTGACACTTGGATCTGTCTTATGTTATCGATATCTGTCTATTCTTTTTCCAAAACGATATATTTCCGCCAGGAAAAGTTATTGTTTGATATTAAAATCGTTATAAGTCCTTGTTTATATGCGCTTATATTCTAATTGCTCTAATTCTAATGTCACTGTCAGACTATTTTGGTTTTATCAGGTTTTCCTTTCATTGTTCTTACCCGAACGCTATGCAATTACGCACATGTGTTTGCACAAAATCTATGATATACAATATAAAAATGTAAATAAAGTATGTAATTGTTAATGTCAACAAGTAGAACAGGTTTTTAGATCTAGCAATTTAGATCCTACTTCTTTTATAAAATTGTCATGTAATCTGTAATGCTATTGACCCAGTCATGTGCTCTTTCTCAGGTGTCAGGAAATTAAATTATTATGGCTGAAGCTGAAACTAAGCCAAGATCACAATCGACTACTGTGCGATTAAAAGCGGCAGAAACTAAAACCAAGCTTGAGAACCAACGACCAAGGAGCCCTAATGGGACACCCATTACACATACAAGACAGAACTCTGAGACTACAGATCTTGATAATTTAGAAAAAAAATCGAGGTCCTTAACAGATCCTGATATTAGTGGAAGACTTAAAATCGAGGGAGCAGATGGCTTGTTTAGTAGCATGAATACAGCCTCAACATTTAAAGAACCAAACCTATCAAGTTTTAAAAACATTGATACTAAAATGGAGAGACCATCTTTTATTTCATCTGAGTCGAATATCTCAAAACCAAGTGTATCAAGTCTGAAATCAAATTTTGAAAAGGGATCAGAATTTGTCGAAGCTTCACATAAACATCATATGGCTGAGTTTACAAATCCTCTACACAAGGGAACTTATAACAGACATAGATTTCGGGAAGATGGACTTGGAGGATCTCTTAAGCCAGTGAAGCCTCCTGTTGCTCCAAAACCATCATCTCCTGCAAAAACTCTTCCGTCTCCAGCAAAACAATCAGCAGATTCTGTTGGTCTAAAACCAGCTGTTGCTAAAAAACCGGAATCCCCCTTTAAAAAGCCAGCATTTAATCCTAAATCTTGTGATCAGGAAAATATGAACGACATGAAGACGTCAGAATATGAAGAAATTCCATCTACACAACCGGAATCACAGGAACATTACTCAAGTGATGAAGATGATGGATTATACTCCAAAGTTGTGCATAATGGTAAGCCTATGCCAATGCACCCTCCTCCGAGAATTCTCAATAATCCTAATATGGTTCACGTATGTAAGCAACCTGATGAGAATTCTGTAGCTGAACAAGAAAATGAAAAAGAGATAGAAAGTGAAAAATTATCTGAGATTCCAATTTATGCCAAGGTTAATAAACAAAGATCACTTGAAAATTATACTGAAGGAAACGATAGTCCAGTAATTCAAGAAAAGAGAAGTGATTCTGATCCAACACCAAAGAATGTTAGTGTTGTTATACCTAAAATCCAGGACGAAGTCTTGGCAATAAGAAAAGATGATGCAGTTATGGATAACAGTGACATGAAAGATAAGGATTCTGATTCCAATGTTGACGATGATGAGCCACCTTGGGATCCTGATGAGTTTGATGATGATAGTGACTTTGATGAGAATACAGACAACTGTGATTCAAGGTCTCTCTCTGAGGATGGACAGGAAGATGATATGATGGTATGTCTGAATCATACTAAAAATATTGAATTATATAATGTGATATATATTATGTGTATACACACTAGATTGCAGAAAGGTTGCAGTATGTATACATTTATACAAATACCTAATGAGATGCAAGATATCAAATGAGATGCAGAATGTCAAACATTAAGCTCAAATACAATTGCTTAGCYACTACATTTTGTGGAAAGACTTTTTAACTTCACTTTGTGCAATACTTATGTCTCTGATATATAATAAAAGATAAATAATACCAAATAATTTTCCTATTTTACGTTCTGCATCTCATTATGATATCTTGCATCTCATTAGATATATTGATTTATAAATGTATACTACAACCTTTTTGCAATCAAGCGTATATATATATATATATAAATATATATTATAATATATATATCACATATATAATGATAAATATATTTATTAATACACATATATGTACATTTTTTACAGCTGTGAGTCCAACGGGTCGGGTTGCTGATTCGAACCCTGCGGTCACCACACATATGAATTGAGTTTGTTTGATATGTTGTTCTCCTATTCTATGAGGGTTCTTTCCRGGCTCCTCGGTTTCCTCCCTTCATAAAAAATCAACAGGCGAGTTGAATGTTGTGTGCATAGAATATTAAAGCTAATAGTATTCAACTAATGCTGTGACAATACTTGTCATACTTGACCAGGTGTTTCCTGATGAAAAGAGTAAGAAGCTCTATAACATTGCCAAAGAAATTCTGACAACTGAAAGAGCGTAAGTTTACCATGTTACGCAATTATAATTCATTCACCTGGGTTCAGATCGTTCTATACAATTATAAATACATGTATATGAAATTATTGATAGAGCATTTCTAGATGTAATAGATCAAAAACAAGTGCGAGGGTTTTATCAAGCCTCTGTGGCCTTGTGCTTTCATCAGTTTCTCAGTAATTGGAGTCCCCTGATGAGACATGGAGCATGGAGTTTTTGATCTTTCTTCCTAACAAATCAATAATGAATGACTTCAAAAATGTTTAGATTTTGAACTTTTTCAGAAATAATAATTAGTGATCAATTAGCATCCAGTCGACAGGTTGCATGATTTTGTTGCCTATATTACCTCACTTCAAATGATGACAGCCCTTTTTATTGTAATTTGATAGGTATGTCAGAAGATTGCACCTCTTAGACCAGGTGACTGTGACTGTTGATATTACTAGGGTGACATTGTTAATGTGACATTGTTATTTGGGAAATCCCATGTATCTCAATCCCTACTTTCATTGACTAAAGGGCTAATTCAATTTTACTCCATTCCTAGCATGCCAAAATGCTGTTATTTGGCAGATCCAGGAATCGGAGAAGGGAGGGGGCTGGAAAAGATTGGTATTAAAGGTTCTCTGACTAACCAAAATAAGGGGAGGACTGTGGCCTCTGTGAGTAGTTCCAGAAAATATCCATACCCTTACCACAGAGGGAATTTGTAAAAGGACCCCCCTACTTCCAGGAACTTCCAATTTCCTTCCATATAAACTCTGTAATTTTGTTAGTTTCTCTGACCCCCCCACCCCCCTCCAGAATCTTCAATTTCCTCAGAGGGATATTTTCTGTAAATACGCAATATATATTAATTACCTATATTTTTTCAAAGGTGTTTTATTTTAGACTTCAAAATGAATGTCTTGCACATGGTCATATCCCTCCAGAGGTCATGCAAGATGTGTTTTCTAATATCTCAGCTATTCATAAGCTGCATAAGGACTTCTTTCTCCCAAAACTAGAAGAAAGGATGAGTGAATGGTAAGTGCAACCATTGACAATGATTTTATTAATGTATATTCACTTGCCCACACCCCACCCAACCCCCTCCCCCCTCTGCTC